GCCTGCCGCCCCCAGGGGTCGGGCAAAAACTGCGGGGGGCCCCGGCGACCAAAGCTGCCGAAGTCCTCCTCGGGGCAAGGGGGGCGGGCATGTCCCCCCGCCTGGGCGCCCGACCAGACAGAGAGCCCGGTCGGGCAGTCGTCTCGCAGGGCCACCCGCCTCCTTCGACGCGTTGTCGAAGAGCTCGGGGGCCACCATAATGCCCCCGAGCTCCCCGCGCCACCCCGTGGAAATCTGGGGCTCGTCGTAGAGCCCCGCGCGCGCCGAGCGTCCGCGGCCATTGCCCATGTCGTTATTATCATATTTGCTTCCGTCCGCGCTGTCGCCGTCGATCCTGCCGCCGCCGCCCATCTCCGATCATCTGCGCTCAATGAGCAGCGCCTTCCTCGGCGTCGGCTCGAAGGCCCCCAAATTGACTATGTCCATCCCGTCGTGCGCGAGGGCCAATCGATGGCATGCGCGATCGCGCAGTGCTCGCCCGCGCCCCGGTAGTCCGTCTCCAGCGCTTGAGCGCGGGCCCATAAGCGGCGGTGGTCGACGGCGCCGCCGCCGCGGCGGTTGATCAGCATCAGGCGCCACGGCGCGGCGCGGGGGCCAGGCGCATGGGGGCCCACGAGGCTCACTTCCTGATTTTTTTCACGGTGGTCCGAAAGAGGGTCTTCGCGCGCTGGCCCCCGATGGCAGCGATGCCCATCAGGCGTGCGTCCACCGAGGCCTCGGCGCCCGCGAACTCGATCTCCTTGCCTGGAGGCGCAAAGGCTAGCGAGATCCACCCAGCTGGAACCCCATGCGGGTGCATCGCGCGCGACGCCCCTGCACCGCGGCCCGCGGCGAGAGGTCGCCGCGGCGCAGGCCGGCCCTCGACTCCGCGGCCAGCCAACTCCCAGCGCCCGCGGGCAGGGCGCCACCCCCGGCAGGCCCGTCGGCGCCGACCCCCGGCGCAGCCGCGGGAGCAGCAGCGGCCGCGGCCAAGCTCGGCGGCGTGGCACTGCCGCGCGCCACGGCGGGGGCGGCCGCCAGGGTCGCGCCGGGCTGCGCGGCGTGGGCCGAGGCGCTCGCGCACCAGCCCGCCAGCTCCGCCGCGGTGGGCTCCGTCGCGAAGCGGTAGCACGTGCCCCGAGGTGCGCAAGGGGCAGGGGGCCACCGTTGGTTGGCGAAGCGGGCCCCGACGATGTCTACGTTCGCGGGGCCGAAGTTCTCGTCGCGCGCCTGAGCGTCGGGAGCGACCGCGGGGCATCTAGTCGCCGACGACGCAAGCACTCGGAGCAGCACACGCCGATGCCACAGAGCCTCCGTCGTCGCGTGCCACGCGTAGGCCCGGGCCACCGCTGGCGGCCCGACTGGGGCCAGTTCAGGCGGGGTGCCCGGCGGCAGGGCTGCTGCTGCGGCTCCAACGGCAGCCGTGGCTGAGGGCGCCGACCGAGAGGGCCGCCGGGCTCGCGCTCGCGAGCAACCAAATCCAGCCCCGCAGTCAATCGCGCTCCGCCAGCACCTCCGAGCTCACCGCGGCCCATCTTGGCTCGGGCATGGGCGGCGCGCCAGGGCGCGCCAGCACCGACGGGCGCGACGGGCGCGCGGGGCACGGAGGAACGGCTGGACAGCGGCCAGCCGAGACTATGGCAGCGGCGCCTATGGAGCGGACAACTTCGCAGGCTAGGTTGAAGCCGAAATCCGCGCCCCGACGGGGGCCCTCGCTTTGAACCCCAGAGATGACTACAGAAGCGTTCTGACGCTTAGCGGGGATCGGGCCCCTCTAGATGATTCACGTGCAAGCACTTCTTAAAATGTATAAACATATGTAGGCGCTGGCCGTTGGGTTTTTGAAGGCCTGTTTGTTCGTCCTTTCGACAGAAAATCACGATCGCGCGACGCAGGGCAAACGCGAAGGGTGATGCGTCGGCATCCTCCAGCGAGCGAATCAGGAGGCGACGTCGATGATGCACTTGGGGTCCTTTTTTTTCGCGCGGCGATCCCTGTCTCGATCTCAATGCGCAACCAACGACGAATGCGGCAATGTACACGGACGGCGGCACTTGGCGCGGTGCAGCGCATGCGAAACAACACGCGATGCTTCCCACACAAATCTCCTCGAAGTGCTTTCTGATGGATTCCCTTTGCGCTGCTTTCCAATAAGAGCTCCTTTGCGGCACGTTTCAGAGGATTCCCGCTGCGAATATTTCTAGCAGAGCCCTCTTGGGGCGCTTTTCGATGGCAACATAATATCTGCGTGCTATTTTCAAAAGGAGTCCTGTCTTGAGGCTGTCTAATAGAATCCCTCTGCGGCGCTATCCAACAGGCGCCTGGTGCGAGGCCTCGCTATTGTATCCCTCTGCGGGGCTTTCCGATGGATTCCTCTACGTGCGGCTTTCCAATCGGGGCCCTGAGTGGCGCTTTCAAACAAGTTGTCTGGCGCGAGGCTTTCCCATCAAATCCTTCTGTGGCGCTTTCCAAAGGACCGCTCTGACGGTGTCCAATAGACTGCTGTTGAAGTGCTTCCCAATAGATTCCTGCTGCCCAGCATAATCTCTGCGGGGCGTTTCCCAAAGGATTCCGATTCGGAGGCGGTCTGTAATAATATGTTTATGATGCTTTCCAGAAGATTATGGTTGCGATGCTTCCCGCTGACATCTTTCCGTTGCGCTGTCCAGGGGGCTCCTAGCGCGGCGCTTCCCATGGATAACCCCTTTGTGGCGGGCTTCAAAAGATTTTCGCTGTGGGGATCTCTCGTAGAATCCCCTTGCGGTACTCTCCAAATGACCCTTGTTGCGAGGCCTTCCACTGGAATCTCGGCGCGGCGTTTCCCAAAGCCGTTCTGTCTGGAAGCTGAAGAATATAATCCATCTGCAGCGCTATCCAACGGACGACTGTTGCAAGGCTTCCTGGCTGAATCCCAGCGTTGGGCTCTCCGATGGATTTGTGTTTTGTGCGGCTTCCCAATGGGGGCCTTCAGTTGCGTTGTCAAGCAAACTTTCTGGCGCGAGGATTTCCGATCGAATCCTGCGTGGTGCTTTCCAAAAGATGCCCACTGTGACGGTGTGCAATCGAATTCTTGTGTTGCACTGTCCAACAGGTTCTTGTTGTGGGTCTTTCCAATCGATTCGCCTCCCGGTGCTTCCCAGTGGGTTCCTCCGATTCTGACGCTTTCCAGAAGAATCTCTCCGTTGTGCTTTCCAACAGATTATGTGTGCGATGCATGCTGCGTCCCCAAAGAAACTCCCCGGTGTGCTTTCCAAAAGATCCCCGGTGTGATGCTTTCCATTGAAATCCTTCTGCGGCGTGCTTCGAAGCATTCCCACTGCGGGAATTTCCCGTTAAATCCCCTTGCGGCACTCTCCGAATGATCGTGCTTGCGACGCTTTCCAATCTCATGTCTACGCGGCGTGTTCCATGGCAGTTATGTCTGGAGGCTTCCTAATGTAATCCCTCTGCGGCACTATCAAAAGGGTTCCTGGCGCGAGGCTTCGCGATTGCATCCCTCTGCGGGGCTTTCCGATGGGTTCCTTTTCGCGCGGCTGTCCAGTGGGGGTCCTCAGTTGTGTTTTCAAAAAGGTTATCTGGCGTGCTGCTTTCCAGTCGAATCTCTCTGCGGCGTTTTCCGATGGGTTCTTGTCTGCGCGGCTTCCCCGTGGGGACCCCTTAGCGGCGCTTTCCAATTCAGTGGGGTCCCCGAGCGGCGATTTCCAACATCTCGCCTTTGTGGCGCTTTCCAGAAAGGGCCCGTCGCAGTGTTTTCCAACGAGGATTTCTCGTGCGACGCTTTCCAATGGAAGCCTTGCGTGCGGTTTTCCAATGTATTCCCGTTGCCGGGCTTTGAGTGCAATCTCTGTGCAGCGTTTTCCAAGGGGTTCCTGTTGCGAGGCGTGCCCGCGTGATCTCCGCGCGGCGTTGCCTGGGGAATCTCCATTGCGAGGCCGCCCGATGAGACCTGCTAGACCCCTTCCAGGGGGTTCCACTTCTTTGCCCCCGCAGAATCCTTCTGCGGCGCTCCCCAAAGGATCCGAAATATGATTGTTCCCAACGGAATGCGAGTTCATTGACGGCGCTCTCCAAACTGATCCCTGTGATTTCACGCAGTGGGACCCCCGTGGAACGCTTCGCGCGGCGCTTCGCGCCCGATGCTTTCCAATCGGATAATTGCGCTGTGCTTGTCAACAACTTCTTCCTGCGATGCTGTTCATTAGAAGTCCTCACCAGTGCTTCCTAAACGGCGTCGTTTATGATTATTCGCACTGCGGCCCTTCTTGCGATGGTTCCAGGCGGAATCGTGTTGCGAGGCCATAGAAACCACGTGGACTGTGTTGCGAAAGATTCTTGTCGCGGGCGCTCCGATGCATTTCTTTGCGCCGCAAAACAAACTCTGTTCCGAAGCCTTCCGATGCCATCCTTTCAACCCCTTTTCCGCCAGATTCATTCCAGGTGCGGGGCTTTCCCCGCGGGGTCCCTCTGGGGCGCTTTCCAGAGAGGATTTCAAGTATGATTGTGTCTAGAACAGAAGGTGCGCATAGCGCTTTCCAAATTAATCCCGTTGCGAGGCCTGCCCCCCTCCCCCCGCGTTGTGCATGAGTTTGTAGTATTATTTGTTTTGCTGTTTCTCCCTCTGTCTCTGCCTCTGTCTTCCTTATATACATATATGTATGTATATGTATGTATGTTTGTATGTATACACATATATATACACTAAAAAGGGAAGTCGATACCGGAGAAAAGCTCCAACCCTAACTTTTAAAAAAGGAAAAACTATTGGGCGATCGGGCCATGCGGGCATAGGGCTAAAAGGCTATAGGGCCTTGGGGCATCAGGGCTATAAAGCAATATATGCAGATATTCGAGGGGTTTCGAGCGAGGATAATGAGTATTGCATGCATGCGCGTTTGTATGTTTGGCCGAAGCCATTTTGTGATCGAGTTCGCCCAGGCCCGAGGTGAAAAGGATCAGGCCCCACCTAGCATAAAGCTTAACATGGTAGCGTGAGCGTGTTCAGACGCCGCCAGAGCTGCGCGATGGAGGCAGCGCTGCAAGAGCTGCAGCGGATCGTTGGAGAGCAGGCGGCCCAGATCCAGAGGCTGACCGAGAGACCAGAATCTCAAGCTGAGGACCGACGGCTTGAGAGCATTGTTGACACGAAGATCCTGAGCAGGATCGGAGTCTTCTCAGGCGCAGATGAAGAATGGAGGCAGTGGTGTTTCGTGTTCGAGTCAACGGCAGGGCTCGTCGACCTAGAGCAGATCATGACTCACTGCGAGAACACGGGCGAGACGGAGCTAGGCTGGGCAACTCAAACGGAGAGAGTCCAACTGAGGATGAAGGTGCTGTATCACTAGCTGATCGCTACGACGAGAGGCAAGGCCCTCACGATCCTCCAGATGGTGCCAATGAACAACGGCGCCATAGGTTGGAAGAGGCTCAAGGACGAGTACGAACCGAAGTCGGGCGGAAGACTGACGGCGATGCTGATGGGGGTGCTCAAGCCAGAGTGGGAGACGGCCATCAGAGGCGGCATCCGCGCGTGGGAAGCTGCCTGGAAGGAGTGGGAGAAGAGCGTCTCGCTCTACGAGGCCCAGTCCCTGGAGAGAGTCACGGAAGGCACGAGGATTGCTGTCGTGGTCAGGTGGGCTCCAGAGGACGTGAAGGCCGTGGTCCGCCAAGCCCTGGGGGCGATCGGCCAGGACTACAACAAGCTGGCCAAGGTCGTCACGGACTACATCGCCAGTGGCAAGGTCTACGAGACCACGGGACCACCCCACGGCATCCAGTACGACGGACCCATGCCCATGGACGTCGGCATGGTGAACGAGAATGGAGACGTTGGCGGCATCTTCAAGCCACCGAAGGGGTACGGCAAGCAGTCGAGGAAGGACGCTGGCAAGGGTCGGGACTCAGATCGCGACACCTGCAAGAACTGTGGCAAACGAGGCCATTGTTCAAGGGATTGCTGGGCCCCAGGAGGTGGAGCAGCCAACCAGACAAAAGGCAAGGGCAAGGACGCGAAAGGCGGAAAAGGAGGTAAAGAGAGGAAGAAGTGCGACAAGTGCGGAAAGCCAGGTCATGAGGCCAAGGAGTGCAGGTCACACATCAAGTGCGACAAGTGCGGGAAGATGGGCCACAAAGCTTCAGAGTGCAGGTCGACGCCAGAGAATGCTGAGGTCAAGAGGATAGTCAACGAGCAGGACGAGCTGTGGGTCATGGGTGCCGCCGAGAGCGTGAACACCATCAACGACGACAGCAAGTACGTGTGGGTCTCGATTGATAGCGGGTCGGACGCTGACGGGTGCCCCCTCGGCTTTGGTCACTCGAGCGACGACGTCGAGGGCCCCGCCAAGGTGGAGCTGAGGACGGCCACCAACGACGAGATCCAGGACTACGGCGAGCGGAACGTCGGCACCGCGTTTCTGGACGAGACGGGCCACGAGGTGATGGCCACGAACCGATTTCGCATCGGCGACTTCAGCAAGCTCGTACTCAGCTGTGGCATCAGAGTCATGAGAGGAGCAGCCATTCACTTGGAGACGGGGAACAGCTACATGGCCCCGCCGAGCGTGAACGGCGTCCAGAGGAAGATACCCCTGACAATGATCGGGAAGAGCTTCTACGCGAGGTGTCGGGTGCTGGAGGCGGGTGCTCACAGGCATCGAGTGGCACCTGTGATCGATCAAGCCGCTCATGAGCAAGAGCCAGCGCCAGGACCACCACCAGGACCTCAAGTTGCACCTGCACCACCAGAACCTCAAGCTGCACCTGCACCGCCAGGACCTCAAGTCGTACCTGCACCACCACCACAAGCAGGACAGCCGCGAGAGATCCTGGGCTCCCAGTCGTCAGTCGAGGCATTGAGAGCTCGCCTGAAGGAGCTCAGGAGGCTTGGGATTATCGATGCGGCCATCTACGGCACCAAGAAGCAGCTGTGGGAGAGGCTCGTCAAGTGCGAGCACCAGCTAGATGAGAATATGAAGGTCAAGGAGGCCCTCGAGGAGCGTCAACGGCGACTCCAAGAAGGCGTCGATCCCGAAGTAGCGAGGACACTGAAGATCCCAGAGAGGCCTGACGCGGAGACCGTACGGCAGCACGAGCTTACTCACGCGAAGTTCGAGCCCTGGTGCCTGGAGTGCGTGTTCGGAAAGGGAGATGCCGCATCCCATCGGGAAGTTCAGTTTCTTACGGACAAGGAGCCAGAGGTGCCCGTCGTGCAGACCGACTACCATTTCTTGAAGGACGATGGCGAGGAGACCGAGGACGCGGCCAACCGCTTCTCCACCACGCTGGCCGTCATCGACTGCGACACGGGTGTTCCTCTACAGCTCAGCTTCCCAGAGAAGGGAGGCAACCACGACTACACTGTGACCTCGATCGTGAGTTTCCTCAGGAGGCTGGGCGCCACTCAGCTCCGGCTCAGGAGTGACGGAGAGCCGAGCATTGTCAGCATAGCAAATGCGGTGGCGGCCAAGAGACTTAAGTTCGATGGCTACAAGGTCACAGTGGGGCAGACCCCCAGGTACTCATCGCAGTCGCTCGGAGCCGTGGGGGCGCAGCAGAAGATCTTGCAGGGCCAGACCAGAACGATCCGAGCTGCACCAGAGAAGATGCTGGGCATCAAGATAGGGCCAGGTCATGTTCTGTGGCCGTGGCTTGTTAGACACGTAGGCTTCATCACGGAGATGTTCCACATCAAGTCAAACGGACGGACTCCTCATCAATATGCTACTGGCACCAGGTACCATGGCGTCGTCCTGAAGTTCGCAGAGACCGCCATGTTCAAGCATCCGATGTCGTCGAGTGGCCACATGACAGGAGGCAGACGCAGTCGCAAGTCCAAGTCGATGTGGGAGAAGGGCGTCTTCCTGGGCAAGACCTACGAGAGCGACGAGTTCCTCACGGGTACGAGCAGCGGGGTGCACTTGGTCAGGACTGTGCGCAGGCTCCCAGAGGAGGACCAATGCGACCTAGAGCTCGTGGCCAAGATAGTTGGGGTCCCCTGGGACCGAGGCATCGGCCAGATTGGAAGGCCGAAAGGCAAGAGGGTGGTCATTCTCCCGACTGCCCCACCTGAGAAGAAGCAAGAGGAGACTGAGGTCGACGAGACCAAGGAGGAGAAGGGAGTTCCAGACCCCACGGTGGAGAGAGGAGTTGCCGAGGACGGGAACAGCTACGCGAGTGCCAGGAGTAGGACAGGCAGTGGCTACATGGACGACGTGGCGCTCCCCACACCGAGGCAAGAGGCAGGCGGAAGCTCGTCATCACGTCCTGCCCAGCCCACTGGGGAGTCGGAGGTTCCAGAGGTTGAGATGGGCGCCGTCGGAGGCGTCGACGGCTTCGTGATGGGCGAGATCGACCCGATGCCCGTCATGGATCCAGAGATGGACATCGACTGGCACGAGGGAGAGTATGACGTGGACCTCATCAAGGCAGGCAAGTGCAAGGATATCAACACGATGCAGGAGTTTGGAGTGTTTGAGGCGGTGTCGCCTGATGAGATAGATTCCACGTGGACAAGGTTGTCAACCAAGTGGGTGTACCAGGGGAAGGGTGAAGAGATTCGCTGTCGCTTCGTTGCCAGGGAGTTCAAGAGCATGGACCCCGAGCGCGAGGGGCTATTCACGCCGGCCAGCGAACCCACGACTGGCAGGCTCATTGACTTCAAGGCGGTGAAGCGAGACCAGCCCACCGTCATCATCGACGCTGTCAATGCCTACTTCCACGCTGAACAAGACAGGCTCGTGGCGGCGGTGCCGCCTCGGGAGTGGATCGAGGCCGAGGCGATCAAGGGCAATACTACGAGGACGATGTGGAGGATGAAGAAGAAGCTCTATGGCGAGAGGGACGCGAGCAGGGGCTTCAGTGACTTCATGAACCGCACCCTCGTCTCAGAGATGGAGTTTGAACAATGTCCTGATCAGCCATGCTTCTACCGCCGAGAGCGGGATTCAGTGGACCTGGAGCTTCATCAGGATGACATCTACGCGACAGCTGATGACAGCAACCTCCAAGCGTTCACGACGGAGCTCAGCAGCATGGTCAAGATCAAGGTGAGCAAGCTACTCAAGGTAGGTGCGAAGTACCAACATCTGAAAGGAGGGCGAGTGAGAGTCGAGGACGGCATGTTCTTGACGGGCAACAGGAAGTACGCGTACAAGATCGTGGAGCTGCTGAACCTCGGCAAGGCGAAGAGCTCGCCCACGCCAATTGTGACGAAGCTACTGCAGGAGGACTTCGAGCATCCGCTGAACGCCGAGGAGACCAGTCTCTACAGGCAGTGCGTGGGCATCGCGAGGTACATGGTCAACTATGTCACGGAGGTCACGTTCGCTGTCCACGTGCTGAGCAAGAGGTTGGCCACGCCCACCGACAACGACATGAAGAGGCTCAAGCATCTCGGCAGGTACCTACTTGGAGTTCGAGACTACGCACTGTTCTTTCCCAGAGCTGGAGAGACAGAGATTTTGGAGTGCTAAACTGATTCAGATTGGACTGGAGACACCATCGACAGAAAGAGTATTTCTTGTGGGGTGTTGCGCTGCGGTGGCTGTGCGCTTCTCGAGTACTCGCGCGGTCAATGCACCCAAGCGCTGAGCTCAGGAGAAGCCGAGTATTACGCATCGGTGACAGCAGCCGCCGAGGCAATCCACCTCCAGAGTGTGATGGGTTTCCTGGACATGGACGTGAAGATCAGGATCCGCATAGACTCCACTGCGGGCAAGGCGGTCTGCCACCGCGTTGGAGTGGGAAGGATCCGCCACCTTGAGGTCCGCACCCTGTGGCTCCAAGCCAAGGTGCGAGACAAGAAGCTGGTGGTGATCAAGCAGGCTGGGGAGACCAACCTGGCCGACGTGGGTACCAAGGCGCTGACGAGTCAGAGGTTCCACTGGCTGAGAGCACAGCTGGGACGACGGCCGTTGGCTGGCGCGGATGACATGGGGGAGAGCACGGCTGTCCGGGTCAACATCGTGAGCGACACAACGTCCAAGATGGCGAGGGTCGGCGCGGCCCTGATCGCTCTCCTGGGCAGCCTGGGCTCGGTGAAAGCGGACGGTGAGTGCGACGTCTACGGCTATGAGAAGGACAGGAAGGAGATCGCCCTGCAGGACACCCGTCAAGAGACTGGCGTGCACCTCCAGGGCATGATGCTCATCATGGTCATGATCACTAGCATGATCGTAGCATGCACAGTCGGTGGCTGTGCGGGCTGGTGCATCGGCTATTTCATGAGGCCGAGTTGCACGAGCGAGAGCAGGCAGGAGAAAGAGAAGGTAGAGCTCAACCAGAGGGCCATCAAGACCAAGAAGCTGAAGGTCGAGTACAGGACCGTCTCGACCCAGAGCCAGGTGACGCACTCCTGGCATCGGGAGAGTCCGAGGTTTACACCACTGGGAGAAAGAGCTCAGGGGGCCTGGGCTGAGTGAGGTGAGTGAAGTGAGTGAGTAGAGTGATTTGATGCGGTATCCCGCTGGAGAGTCGAGAGGACCCCAGCGGAAGGGCTTGAGCGACACCGCAGCAGCGTGTTTTGCCTGCGGCTCGCAGGACCAGGTTTTCCTTGATTATGTGCACTGTTTCCTCGTTGAGCGGTCTGATCAGCCGCCTCGTTGAGCCTCCGACATCGCCCTCAGGGGGCGTGCAGATATTCGAGGGGTTTCGAGCGAGGAAAATGAGTATTGCATGCATGCACGTTTGTATGTTTGGCCGAAGCCATTTTGTGATCGAGTTCGCCCAGGCCTGAGGTGAAAAGGATCAGGCCCCACCTAGCATAAAGCTTAACATGGTAGCGTGAACGTGTTCAGACGCAGCCAGAGCTGCGCGATGGAGGCAGCGTTGCAAGAGCTGCAGCGGATTGTTGGAGAGCAGGCGGCCCAGATCCAGAGGCTGACCGAGAAACCAGAATCTCAAGCTGAGGACCGACGGCTTGAGAGCATTGTTGTCACGAAGATCCTGAGCAATATAGGAGTCTTCTCAGGCGCAGATGAAGAATGGAGGCAGTGGTGTTTCGTGTTCGAGTCAACGGCAGGGCTCGTCGACCTAGAGCAGATCATGACTCACTGCGAGAACACGGACGAGACGGAGCTAGGCTGGGCAACTCAAACGGAGAGAGCCCAACTGAGGATGAAGGTGCTGTATCACTTGCTGATCGCTACGACGAGAGGCAAGGCCCTCACGATCCTCCAGATGGTGCCAAACAACAACGGTGCCATAGGTTGGAAGAGGCTCAAGGACGAGTACGAACCGAAGTTGGGCGGAATACTGACGGCGATGCTGATGGGAGTGCTCAAGCCAGAATGGGAGACGGCCATCAGAGGCGGCATCCGCGTGTGGGAAGCTGCCTGGAAGGAGTGGGAGAAGAGCGTCTCGCTCTACGAGGCCCAGCCCCTGGAGAGAGCCACGGAAGGCACGAGGATTGCTGTCGTGGTCAGGTGGGCTCCAGAGGACGTGAAGGCCGTGGTCCGCCAAGCCCTGGGGGCGATCGGCCAGGACTACAACAAGCTGGCCAAGGTCGTCACGGACTACATCGCCAGTGGCAAGGTCTACGAGACCACGGGAGCACCCCGCGGCATCCAATACGACGGACCCATGCCCATGGACGTCGGCATGGTGAACGAGAATGGAGACGTTGGCGGCATCTTCAAGCCACCGAAGGGGTACGGCAAGCAGTCGAGGAAGGACGCGGGCAAGGGTCGGGACTCAGATCGCGACACCTGCAAGAACTGTGGCAAACGAGGCCATTGGTCAAGGGATTGCTGGGCCCCAGGAGGTGGAGCAACCAACCAGACAAAAGGCAAGGGCAAGGACGCGAAAGGCGGAACATGAGGAAAGAGAAGAAGAAATGCGACAAGTGCGGAAAGCCAGGTCATGAGGCCAAGGATTGCAGGTCACACATCAAGTGCGTCAAGTGCGGGAAGATGGGCCAAAAAGCTTCAGAGTGCAGGTCGAAGCCAGAGAATGCTGAGGTCAAGAGGATAGCCAACGAGCAGGACGAGCTGTGGGTCATGGGTGTCACCGAGAGCGTGAACACCACCAACGACGACAACAAGTACGTGTGGGTCTCGATTGATAGCGGGTCGGGCGCTGACGGGTGTCCCCTCGGCTTTGGTCACTCGAGCGACGACGTCGAGGATCCCGCCAAGGTGGAGCTGAGGACGGCCACCAACGACGAGATCCAGGACTACGGCGAGCGGAACGTCGGCATCGCGTTTCTGGACGAGACTGGCCACGAGTGATGGCCACGAACCGATTTCGCATCGGCGACTTCAGCAAGCCCGTACTCAGCTGTGGCATCAGAGTCATGAGAGGAGCAGTCATTCACTTGGGGACGGGGAACAGCTACATGGCCCCGCCGAGCGTGAACGGCGTCCAGAGGAAGATACCCCTGACAATGATCGGGATGAGCTTCTACGCGAGGTGTCGGGTGCTGGGGGCGGGTGCTCACAGGCATCGAGTGGCACCTGTGATCGATCAAGCGGCCCATGGGCAAGAGCCAGCGCCAGGACCACCACCAGGACCTCAAGTTGCACCTGCACCACCAGAACCTCAAGCTGCACCTGCACCACCAGAACCTCAAGCCGTACCTGCACCACCACCACAAGCAAGACAGCCACGAGAGATCCTGGGCTCCCAGTCGTCAGTCGAGGCATTGAGAGCTCGCCTGAAGGAGCTCAGGAGGCTTGGGATTATCGATGCGGCCATCTACGGCACCAAGAAGCAGCTGTGGGAGAGGCTCGTCAAGTGCGAGCACCAGCTAGATGAGAAGATGAAGGTCAAGGAAGCCCTCGAGGAGCGTCAACGGCGACTCCAAGAAGGCGTCGATCCCGACGTACCGAGGACACTGAAGATCCCAGAGAGGCCTGGCGCGGAGACCGTACGGCAGCACGGGCTTACTCACGCGAAGTTCGAGCCCTGGTGCCTGGAGTGCGTGTTCGGAAAGGGAGATGCCGCACCCCATCGGGGAGTTCAGTTTCTTACGGACAAGGAACCAGAAGTGCCCGTCGTGCAGACCGACTACCATTTCTTGAAGGACGATGGCGAGGAGACCGAGGACGCGGTCAACCGCTTCTCCACCACGCTGGCCGTCGTCGACTGCGACACGGGTGTTCCTCTACAGCTCAGCCTCCCAGAGAAGGGAGGCAACCACGACTACACTGTGACCTCGATCGTGAGTTTCCCCAGGAGGCTGGGCGCCACTCAGCTCAGGCTCAGGAGTGACGGAGAGCCGAGCATTGTCAGCATAGCAAATGCGGTGGCGGCCAAGAGACTCAAGTTCGATGGCTACAAGGTCACAGTGGAGCAGACCCCCAGGTACTCATCGCAGTCGCTCGGAGCCGTGGGGGCGCAGCAGAAGATCTTGCAGGGCCAGACCAGAACGATCCGAGCTGCACCAGAGAAGATGCTGGGCATCAAGATAGGGCCAGGTCATGTTCTGTGGCCGTGGCTTGTTAGACACGTAGGCTTCATCACGGAGATGTTCCACATCAAGTCAAACGGACGGACTCCTCATCAAGATGCTACTGGCACCAAGTACCATGGCGTCGTCCTGAAGTTCGCAGAGACCGCCATGTTCAAGCATCCGATGTCGTCGAGTGGCCACATGACAGGAGGCAGACGCACTCGCAAGTCCAAGCCGATGTGGGAGAAGGGCGTCTTCCTGGGCAAGACCTACGAGAGCGACGAGTTCCTCATGGGTACGAGCAGCGGGGTGCACTTGGTCAGGACTGTGCGCAGGCTCCCAGAGGAGGACCAATGCGACCTAGAGCTCGTGGCCAAGATAGTTGGGGTCCCCTGGGACCGAGGCATCGGCCAGATTGGAAGGCCGAAAGGCAAGAGGGTGGTCATTCTCCCGACTGCCCCACCTGAGAAGAAGCAAGAGGAGACTGAGGTCGACGATACCAAGGAGGAGAAGGGAGTTCCAGACCCCACGGTGGAGAGAGGAGTTGCCGAGGACGGGAACAGCTACGCGAGCGCCAGGAGTAGGACAGGCAGTGGCTACATGGACGACGTGGCGCTCCCCACACCGAGGCAAGAGGCAGGCGGAAGCTCGTCATCACGTCCTGCCCAGCCCACTGGGGAGTCGGAGGTCCCAGAGGTTGAGATGGGCACCGTCGGAGGCGTCGACGGCTTCGTGATGGACGAGATCGACCCGATGCCCGTCATGGATCCAGAGATGGACACCGACTGGCACGAGGGAGAGTATGACGCGGACCTCATCAAGGCAGGCAAGTGCAAGGATATCAACACGATGCAGGAGTTTGGAGTATTTGAGGCGGTGTCGCCTGATGAGATAGATTCCACGTGGACAAGGTTGTCAACCAAGCGGGTGTACCAGGAGAAGGGTGAAGAGATTCGCTGTCGCTTCGTTGCCAGGGGGTTCATGAGCATGGACCCCGAGCGCGAGGGGCTATTCACGCCGGCCAGCGAACCACCGACTGGCAGGCTCATACTTCAAGGCGGTGAAGCGAGACCAGCCCACCGTCATCATCGACGCTGTCAATGCCTACTTCCACGCTGAACAAGACAGGCTGGTGGCGGTGGTGCCGCCCCGGGAGTGGATCGAGGCCGAGGCGACCAAGGGCAATACTACGAGGACGATGTGGAGGATGAAGAAGAAGCTCTATGGCGAGAGGGACGCGAGCAGGGGCTTCAGTGACTTCATGAACCGCACCCTCGTTTCAGAGATGGAGTTTGAACAATGTCCTGATCAGCCATGCTTCTACCGCCGAGAGCGGGATTCAGTGGACCTGGAGCTTCATCAGGATGACATCTACGCGACAGCTGATGACAGCAACCTCCAAGCGTTCACGACGGAGCTCAGCAGCAAGGTCAAGATCAAGGTGAGCAAGCTACTCAAGGTAGGTGCGAAGTACCAACATCTGAAAGGAGGGCGAGTGAGAATCGAGGACGGCACGTTCTTGACGGGCAACAGGAAATATGCGGACAAGATCGTGGAGCTGCTGAACCTCGGCAAGGCGAAGAGCTCGCCCACGCCAATTGTGACGAAGCTACTGCAGGAGGACTTCGAGCATCCGCTGAACGCCGAGGAGACCAGTCTCTACAGGCAGTGCGTGGGCATCGCGAGGTACATGGTCAACTATGTCACGGAGGTCACGTTCGCTGTCCACGTGCTGAGCAAGAGGTTGGCCACGCCCACCGACAACGACATGAAGAGGCTCAAGCATCTCGGCAGGTACCTACTTGGAGTTCGAGACAACGCGCTGTTCTTTCCCAGAGCTGGAGAGACAGCTGGAGACACCATAGACAGAAAGAGTATTTCTTGTGGGGTGTTGCGCTGCGGTGGCTGTACGCTTCTCGAGTACTCGCGCGGTCAATGTACCCAAGCGCTGAGCTCAGGCGAAGCCGAGTATTACGCATCGGTGGCAGCAGCCGCCGAGGCAATCCACCTCCAGAGTGTGATGGGTTTCCTGGACATGGACGTGCAGATCAGGATCCGCATAGACTCCTCTGCGGGCAAGGCGGTCTGCCACCGCGTTGGAGTGGGAAGGATCCGCCACCTTGAGGTCCGCACCCTGTGGCTCCAAGCCAAGGTGCGAGACAAGAAGCTGGTGGTGATCAAGCAGGCTGGGGAGACCAACCTGGCCGACGTGGGTACCAAGGCGCTGACGAGTCAGAGGTTCCACTGGCTGAGAGCACAGCTGGGACGACGGCCGTTGGCTGGCGCGGATGACATGGAGGAGAGCACGGCTGTTCTGGTCAACATCGTGAGCGACACAACGTCCAAGATGGCGAGGGTCGGCGCGGCCCTGATCGCTCTCCTGGACAGCCTGGGCTCGGTGAAAGCGGACGGTGAGTGCGACGTCTACGGCTATGAGAAGGACAGGAAGGAGATCGCCCTGCAGGACACCCGTCAAGAGACTGGCGTGCACCTCCAGGGCATGATGCTCATCATGGTCATGATCACTATCATGATCGTAGCATGCACAGTCGGTGGCTGTGCGGGCTGGTGCATCGGCTATTTCATGAGGCCGAGTTGCACGAGCGAGAGCAGGCAGGAGAAAGAGAAGGTAGAGCTCAACCAGAGGGCCATCAAGACCAAGAAGCTGAAGGTCGAGTACAGGACCGTCTCGACCCAGAGCCAGGTGACGTACTCCTGGCATCGGGAGAGTCCGAGGTTTACACCACTGGGAGAGAGAGCTCAGGGGGCCTGGGCTGAGTGAGGTGAGTGAAGTGAGTGAGTAGAGTGATTTGATGCGGTATCCCGCTGGAGAGCCGAGAGGGCCCCAGCGGAAGGGCTTGAGCGACACCGCAGCAGCGCGTTTTGCCTGCGGCTCGCAGGACCAGGTTTTCCTTGATTTTGTGCACGGTTTCCTCGTTGAGCGGTCTGATCAGCCGCCTCGTTGAGCCTCCGACATCGCCCTCAGGGGGCGTGCAGATATTCGAGGGGTTTCGAGCGAGGATAATGAGTATTGCATGCATGCACGTTTGTATGTTTGGCCGAAGCCATTTTGTGATCGAGTTCGCCCAGGCCTGAGGTGAAAAGGATCAGGCCCCACCTAGCATAAAGCTTAACAGTATATGGCCATCGGGGCTATTGAGCTGCAAGGCTATAAAGCTATAGCGCTATGGTGCTATAGGACTGCAAGGCCATAGTGCGGCAAGGCCACTGGGCTATGCGGCTCGGCCCACCCCGCGACGCACCCCGCGACCCGCCCGCGACCGAACCCGCGACCCGCCCGCGACCCACGCCGCGACCCACCCACGACCCACCCGCGACCCGCCCGCGACCCACGCCGCGACCCGCCCGCGACCCACCCCGCGACCCATCCGCGACCCATCCGCGACCCACCCGCGACCCGTCCCGTTAAATAAAAAATCAGAGGAGCCCGCGGCGGGTTCGTTGTGCAATTTGTGGAACCTTGGCGCCTGCGGGGGGCTTCCCCGGAGTCTCGCCCGCTGCCGACGCCCCCGCCGCCCCCTCGCTCTCATCTGCATCTGCGGGGTCTCACGGTTGCATGCGTTCCATCGGTCCTCCAAGTTGCCCAGATTTGTTGCTGAATTCTGCGTATCGCACAAACTCTGCGCTAATCTGCACCGCCGCTGATTCCTCGCGCGCGCGGAGGCGGCGCTGGCGGCCAGCAAGCTGAGCTGGCGGCGCAGGGGGGCGCAGCTCGCGGCGCTTGCGGTGGCAGGGCGCCCAGGCAGACGGCGGGCTCGGGGCAGTGCTTCCCCGCCGACGTGGTCACTGTCAGTCGCCTGCGCAATTGCGGCTGCCTCTCCGCCGCCCGCTCCACGCCCGTCTCCGGGCCGCCCGGGCGGCTCTCGATGCCGCCCCGGCGCGCCGCCGCCGCGTTGAGCGCCTGCTGGAACATCGCGGCCTGGGCCCCGGCAGCGCCGCCATCCCCCCCCCGCGGCGTCGCCCCGAAAGAGCGCCGCCCGAAAGCGCGGGCCGTGATTGATTACGACACTCACCTTCGCCATGCGGTCGTCGTCGCTCATCTTCTCGTTAGCCTCGTAGGTTTCCTGGATCTCGCGTTGCTCGAAGACCCCCGCGATCGCTTCCGTGGCCCGCTCGCCGCTGAGCTGCGTCGTGAACTCCAGAAATGTTGTAACTGGTGGCTGCGCGATCGATGAGGGCGCCGCCTCGTGCTTCGCGGCGTCGATCAGGCCGTCCGCGAACGCCGCTGCCGCGCGGGCGGCCCCTCTCATGGCCCTTGCCGAGCTCCCGTGCCTTGCGCCCGTGCTCTCGCCCTGATTCCATGGAGCTCTGCGCGACTTGCTGGGGGGGCGACGTAAGCCGGCAGTTGCCCGCGCTGCGGGGCGGGTCGCGCGCGGCCGCGCTGTTTTGCAGGGCGAGCTTCTGGGGGGCCTTCCTCTCGTCGCGCCTGTCTCCTGAAACAACCTGAGATCCGGTGCCGCGTCCTCCTTCTGGAGGGCCTCCTGGGGGGGCGGGGCCTCTTCCTCGCCCGCCCTTCCCGCGGGGGGGCGCGGCTGCCCTGGCGCCCCGGCCCGCTCTAGGCGGCTGTGATCCTCCGCGCCTGGGCCCCCGGCATCTCGCGGCAGACGCGTAGGCAATGCATGGGCGGCATCTCCTTCGGCGGCCCCGACCTGGCCGGGCCCCGCCAAGCGGCCTCGCGCGCGCCCGCGATATTCGCAGCGGTTTTGAACCTGGCGGTTACAGATAGCGCGCGTCATGAGGGCTCTTCCAATTCATGAGCCAACATAGACCCGCCCTGACGGCGAGCCCCACGGTAGCGCGCCGCTTTTTGTAGCGCGGTCCACTGCCGCGCGGCGGTTGGCGAAGGCACTCTTGCTAACGAACATTACGGGCGCCGCCAACGGTCGCGCGTTGCGCGCCCCTCGGCGATGCCCGGCCAGCGCTGCGCACGTCGGGGAGTCTGCCACGCGCGCGCTCCTCCCCATGGTCGTCGGTCGTCAAAGGATCGTACCGATGTGGTCGAAATAGCTCCTCCTCTGTCTCTTTCGCATCCTCCACGTCGCGCTTCTTGGGTGCATCCCAAATCCTCTCGTAGCAATGCAATATTCTGGGGTCCGCCTGGGCCATCTGTGGGACTTGGGCGCCCCCCCCCTGGATTACGCTACCGAGGAACCCCACATATTTACTTTAAATCTTATGTGCTTGCTTAAGTTTATCATATATGCGCAAATCTGCGTTCTCAGCCCTCGTCGCGACTGTTCCCCTCTGTGTCATCCAACGCCATATCGCTTGAACCCTCTCTCTTCCTAGCCTTCTATCCTCCATCGAGGACAGATTCGAGCCAGCCAGCGGCCGCGGTGAGGGACCACCCCCTGCGCACCCTCTATGGTGTCGAGAAAGTGCCACGCCTGCTATGCCCTGTACGACCGTCGTGCATGGCGGCCGCGGTGAGGGACCACCCCCTGCGCAGACTTTATGGGGCCTCTCCTGCCACGATCGAGAAAGTGCCACTCCGCGGTGAGGGATCACCCCCTGTGGTGCCGAGAAAGTGCCACTCCTGCCACGATCTGCGAGCGTGTCACTGATAGAGGCCGCGCTGAGGGACCACCCTGTGCGCACCCCTTGCGGTGTCGAGAAAGTGCCACTCCTGCCACGATCTGCGGGCGTGTCACTGATAGAGGCCGCGCTGAGGGACCACCCTCTGCGCACCCCCTGTGGTGTCAAGAAAGTGCCACTCCTGCCGCGATCTGCGAGAATGTCACGGATAGAGGCCGCGCTGAGGGACCACCCTGTGCGCACCCCCTGTGGCGTCGAGAAAGTGCCACTCCGCCGCGATCTGCGAGCGTGTCACGGATAGAGGCCGCGCTGAGGGACCACCCTCTGCGCACCCCTTGTGGTGTCGAGCAAGTGTCATTCCTGCCACGATCTGCGAGCGTGTCACGGATAGGGGCCGCGCTGAGGGATCACCCTGTGCGCACCCCCTGTGGCGTCGAGAAAGTGCCACTCCTGCCTGCCATCTGCCACGATAGCGTGTCACGGCCGCGCTGAGGGACCACCCTCTGCGCACCCCCTGTGGATAGTCGAGCGCAAGAGTGCCACTCCTGCCACGATCTGCGAGCGTGTCACGGATAGAGGCCGCGCTGAGGGACCACCCTCTGCGCACCCCCTGTGGTGTCGAGAAAGTGCCACTCCTGCCACGATCTGCGAGCGCGTCACGGATAGAGGCCGCGCTAGGGACCACCCTCTGCGCACCCCCTGTGGTGTCGAGAAAGTGCCACTCCTGCCACGATCTGCGAGCGTGTCACGGATAGAGGCCGCGCTGAGGGACCACCCTCTGCGCACCCCCTGTGGCGTCGAGAAAGTGCCACTCCTGCCACGATCTGCGAGCGTGTCACGGATAGAGGCCGCGCTGAGGGACCACCTTCTGCGCACCCCTTGTGGTGTCGAGAAAGTGCCACTCCTGCCACGATCTGCGAGCGTGTCACGGATAGAGGCCGCGCTGAGGGACCACCCTCTGCGCACCCCCTGTGGCGTCGAGAAAGGGCCACTCCTGCCACGATCTGCGAGCGCGTCACGGATAGAGGCCGCGCTGAGGGACCACCCTCTGCGCACCCCCTGTGGCGTCGAGAAAGTGCCACTCCTGCCACGATCTGCGAGCGTGTCACGGATAGAGGCCGCGCTGAGGGACCACCCTCTGCGCACCCCCTGAGAAAGTGCCACTCCTGCCACGATCTGCGAGCGTGTCACGGAAGAGGCCGCGCCCACCCTCTGCGCACCCCCTGTGGCGTCGAGAAGTGCCACTCCTGCCACGATCTGCGAGCGTGTCACGGATAGAGGCCGCGCTGAGGGACCACCCTCTGCGCACCCCCTGTGGTGTCGAGAAAGTGCCACTCCTGCGAGAAAGTGCCACTCCTGCTACGATCTGCGAGCGTGTCACGGATAGAGGCCGCGCTGACGGACCACCCTCTGCGCACCCCCTGTGGCGTCGAGAAAGTGCCATTCCTGCCGCGATCTGCGAGCGCGTCACGGATAGAGGCCGCGCTGAGGGACCACCCTCTGCGCACCCCCATGTGGTGTCAAGAAAGCGCCACTCCTGCCACGATCTGCGAGCGTGTCACGGATAGAGGCCGCGCTGATGGACCACCCTCTGCGCACCCCCTGTGGCGTCGAGAAAGTGCCACTCCTGCCGCGCTCTCCGACCCGCTGTGCTGTGCTCTGCCGTGCTGTGCTGTGCTGTGCTGCGGTGAGCTGTGATGCGCCGTGCTGAGCTGTGTTGTGCTGAGCCGAGCAGTGCTGAGCTGTGCGAGCTGTGCTGTGCTGTGTGTGTGCGTGTGTGTGTGTGTGTGTGTGTGTGTGTGTGTGTGTGTGTGTGTGTGTGTGTGTGTGTGTGTGTGGGGGGGGGGGAAAGGTGAGGTGAGACGCAGGTGCGACGCGGCAGAAAAGAAAACTTAGCCTGGCGAAGGACCCAACCATATGCAGCTGCGATTACCGCACGGATATGAGACGAAGGAGGGGGCACGCAAACTAGGCTCCTCTTCTCATAAGCACCGCGCCACTGGGGCCTTCGGTGGAGCTCCCTATGGGGCCACGAAACGTGTGAGGGGTGTGCCGAAATGGGTGGTGGGGAGGCATGCGGACGCAGCCACTGGGGCCTTCGGTGGAGCTCCCTATGGGGCCACGAAACGTGTGAGGGGTGTGCCGAAATGGGTGGTGGGGAGCCACTGGGGCCTTCGGTGGAGCTCCCTATGGGGCCACGAAACGTATGAGGGGTGTGCCGAAATGGGTGGTGGGGACGCATGCGAACGCAACCACTGGGGCCCCTTCGGTGGAGCTCCCTATGGGGCCACGAAACGTGTGAGGGGTGGGCCGAAATGGGCGAGGGGCGGCATGCCAACTCTGCCACTGGGGCCTTCGGTGGAGCTCATTATGGGGCCACGAAACGTGTCAAGGGTGTGTCGACATGGGTGGCGCGGACGCATGCGAACCCTGCCACTGGGGCCGTCGGTGGAACTCCCAATGGGGCCACGAAACGTGTGAGGGGTGTGCAAAAGTGGGTGGGGGCGGCATGCGAACCCTGCCACGGGGGCCTTCGGTAGAGCACCCTATGGGGCCACGAAATGCGTGAGGGGTGTGCCAAAGTGGGGTGGGGGCGGCATGCGAACCCTGCCACTGGGGCCGTCGGTGGAGCTCCCTATGGGGCCACGAAACGTGTGAGGGGTGTGCCAAAGTGAGATGGGGGCGGCATGCGAACCCTGCCACTGGGGCCTTCGGTGGAGCTCCCTATGAGGCCACGAAACGTGTGAGGGGTGTGCCAAAGTGGGGCGGGGGCGGCATGCGAACCCTGCCACTGGGGCCTTCGGTGGAGCTACCTATGGGGCCACGAAACGCGTGAGGGGTGTGCCAAAGTGAGGTGGGGGCGGCATGCGAACCCTGCCACTGGGGCCTTCGGTGGAGCTACCTATGGGGCCACGAAATGCGTGAGGGGTGTGCCAAAGTGGGGTGGGGGCGGCATGCGAACCCTGCCACTGGGGCCGTCGGTGGAGCTCCCTGTGGGGCCACGAAACGTGTGAGGGGTGTGCCAAAGTGAGGTGGGGGCGGCATGCGAACCCTGCCACTGGGGCCTTCGGTGGAGCTACCTATGGGGCCACGAAACGTGTGAGGGGTGTGCCAAAGTGGGGTGGGGGCGGCATGCGAACCCTGCCACTGGGGCCTTCGGTGGAGCTACCTATGGGGCCACGAAACGTGTGAGGGGTGTGCCAAAGTGGGGTGGGGGCGGCATGCGAACCCTGCCACTGGGGCCTTCGGTGGAGCTCCCTATGGGGCCACGAAACGTGTGAGGGGTGTGCGGAAATGGGAACTAATGGCGATGGCGATGATGATGATGATGACGATGATGATGCTGGTGGTGATGACGATGATGATGCTGGTGGTGATGATGACAGGATGGTTGGGAACTAATGGCAATGGCGATGATGATGACGATGATGATGCTGGTGGTGATGAAGACGAGGATGATGATGAAGATGAGGATGATGATGATGATGACGATGAGTATGATGACGGCGATGTGAGGAGGGAGGAGGGGGGAGAGGAGGAGGAGGAGAGGAGAGGAGAGGAGAGGAGAGGAGACGCGGGGCGCTGTCTCTTCAAAACGAGGACCCAACACCACAGGATGGTTGGGAAAAAACATAGCCCCACGAAATATGTGGGGAACCAGAACCCCACGAAGTGAGGTGAGTGTCGCGGGTGCGGCGCGGCAGGGAAGAAAATCATAACCCCGCGAAACACGTGGG